TCCTTCAACTCACCATAATAACACAAGTTGCTGCCTGGATTCATGGTGCTTGTATTCCAGAACCTTCCATTTTCTTATAAGTATTTACTTATACAATTATTCACCATTAAAAACATGAAACAGAAGTGGGGCTGTGGGACTTTCTAGGTAGGTAAGCAGATGGGTATCTAAAGCCATGAGCCAGTGAAGAATCAGAGAGTGATTCAAAGTACAGATTCTAGAGTCAGGCTGCCTGTGTAAAACCCCATTGGATTTCTTACTCCACGTGACCTTGGAAAGTTAGCAAACAATGCTTTAGCTTCCTCAGGAGAGGGCTGTTCCTTGTGGGAATGGAATGACCGTAAGTAAGGGTTTGAAAGAATGACCATGCCCTAGGAAGCATTCCTGAAAGAAAATGGCAGTTTGTGTTCGTTGTGGTCAATGGGAAGCACATTGCCATGGAGTACTGCGGCAGGGCACCTCACTGTCTGGGCATCTGACAAGCTCCCCCTGCCCTGCAGTCCACCCGCCCAGGCACTCGTTCTGGGGACCTCTTGAGTTTAACTTCCGGTCGCTGGTCTGGATCTCCTCCAGCCTTTCCCCATGAGCCACATCACACCTTCCTTCCCTTACATACGGCATCACCCCAAAAACCCTTCCTTCCATCTCCTACGCCATTGATCGTTGCCTCTTTCTGATCATTGGAGATCAACCAAAAACCCTTGATTCCCTTTCATAAGCGAGGAAAGTATACATATTAAGAGAGCATCTCCAATCCCTCACCTCCTAGTCTCTCCCAAGGCTTTTAGCCCCACCTCCAAGGTCACAACAGTGACCTCCATTAAGTTAACTTCCCTGGTCAAGTCTCCTTTCTTATCTCATCTGACATAGCTGACCACTTCCTTTTCTTGAAGCATGTTCTTCACTTGACTTCCCGTGCTCTGCTGGTGTTCTTTTTTTTTTTTTTTAATATTTATTTATTTTGAGAGAGAGACAGACATAAGCAGGGGAGGAGCAGAGAGAGAGAATCCCACTCAGGCTCTGCATTATCAGCACAGGGCCCAACACAGGGCTCAAACTCATGAACCGTGAGATCACAACCTGAGCCAAAGTCAAGAGTCTAACACTTAACTGACTGAGCCACCCAGGTGCCCCTCTGCTGCTGTCCTTTGTTCCTTACCCATCATTCCTTCTTTGCTCCTAGTCTCTGACCTCACTATGGCTGTGCTACAAGGGCTGGGTTCCTGATCTGTCCTCTTCTCCGTCTTTACTTCCATCCTTGGCCACTGGGCTCATCCCACAGCTTTCTGTCGCTCTACATGCAGGCAACTGCCAGAGTCACCCTTCCAGCCCAGGTGTGTGTTTTGAGCTTCAGACACCAGCAGCCTAACTTGACAAACCCCCTTGGCTAAATCATACACCCTGCAGCCTCAAACTATCAAAAGCAAATTCCCACCTTCCTCCAAACCTGCTTCTCTAACCTGTTTCAATCAACAGGAATTCTCTCCTTGTTCTTGAGGTTGAAAACTTCAAAGTCTTCCCTCCCTACTTCTCTTGCTCAAACCTCACATCCTTCTCGCAGCGGATCACACTGACTCTCCCTTCAGGACATATTCTTAAAACAGCTGTTTGGTCTTACCTGTTCTGTCCAAGCCGTATTTGCGCTTGCCTGCATTGTGGCAGTGACTTTGACTTGCTCCCACGTTTCCCTTCTGCCCTCCTAGTGTCTGCTTTCGAAAAGCACACTGCTCAAGGCCGCGTGCTCAGAGTGCAGGCAGAAAGATCCTAGGGCCTCTGCAGGCCTGTAGGCAATGTTCTCCCCTCCCACCTGCTACTTGCCATCGCCTCCCCTCAGACCTTCACTAAAGTGTCTCCCTCCCCAATCACCTTTGTTGTGTTCTCTGGGACTTCCTTGCCTACGTTTTCTCCATGCCTTTACCACAAATCAATGTACTATAAACACACGTGTTTCTTTTTCTTTCTCCACCAGTATGTAAGGTACCGGGAGCGCTGGGTTCATTTGGTTATTTTTGTGGGGGGTTGGGTATATTTGGTCCACTACTAAATGTCCAACAATGATAACAGCGCCTGGCATACACATGTTTTTGTTAGTAATTTGCTAGAAGTAGTTGATGGTATCAAAGAACTGGTGATTCTGCTGTAAACAGAACATTGGAATTCCACTTTGATGATAATGCTCAGGCTACTTGAACTGTCTGAAACAATTGATGAGTTTTGATTTCACCTGGTCGGGTTGGTCTCCTTACTTGCCTTAATCTATCAAATGCCTCTGAGCAGAACCGGCCTGCATAATTTATCAGTCTCGGGAGAGTTAGTTAGATTAGTAAATGCTAAAAAAAAAAAAAGATGACAGAATTTTCCTGGCATCAGCCTGTCCCTCACGGCAAGATGATTCTGTTAAGCTGGGGGTAATGGCTGTCACTCTTAGCCCCTCGGTCCCCATTATAGAACACGCAGAGCGAAGGTGATCTCTTACCAACCTTGAAAATGGACTTTGTGGTTTGGCTTAATTGAAATAGATTTTCATGCTGAAAAATAATGACTGAAAGGTGTGCATCATCACCAGACATGGAATGGGTCCACCCCGCAGGCATCCCTCAGGGCTTGGAGTTATCCATCCAGAGGCGGCCAAGTTCTTGATCACAGGGTGCCCCGGTGAGCGTCATTGTCATTTCATAGAGACTCCAGAGGAAGGATGCAAAAAAAATCTCCCTCTTTCAGGCCCATTAGATGTCTTTCATACCTAATATAAATATAGGTCACAATCTATGGGGGCAACTGTTATGAATTGGGTCGGCGAGGCAGGCATAATCAACTTGAGGCTTATTTGGAATTCGTGTGAAAGTGCACAGAGGTCTCACAGGTCACACTGATAAGGAAATATTGGTTGCCTGACAAAGATTTAGTGGTACCAGTAGCATCTAAGATTCTTGGTCTTTCCCATGGGAGAATGCATTTCGTACAAAGAATACAGTATATTCAGGTCAGAAATGGTATGCACGTGGCACGAATGGAAGACAATTTTCTCCTGAGAAGGAACTCCATGTGTTTACCAGTATCCAAAGACCTAACAAATAGAAATCTCTCCTGCAGAGGCCACAAAGCATGCAGTGCTGAAATGGCAGGTAACAAGGTGACACAGAGGTGTCTCCCACCCCCCCTTCCATCTTGGTGAGGTAGCACATCACATATGTGCCCGGTTATGTTATTGTTTTTCTGTGGGTAGCGAGGGAGAGATTGTCTGCCCAATGACACTTTCCATGTTACCTCTTTATGTTTCTAATTTCGGACATCCTTCCTGTCCCAGAGGAAGTTAGCTATGCTAGTTTTAATGTCCGTTCTTGCTGCAAAACTCAAATGTTCACTTTCTGTTAGGAAAACCTAAAGCAGACAGGTGTTTTATAATTCCTTGCGATTTGGAATTCTTTAAAGGCAAGTGAATTTGAAGTTCAAGTGTGGGCAGGTTCGACTGAAGTCCTAATCCCCGTGACATTTTCCTGATAACAAGAAAACCTCCCTTTTGTAATGCAGCAGTAGGTCTCAATTGATCAAGGCCACAATCAGGACACCCGCACTTTGATTCACTGAGCTTAAAATCTAGAAACAATCTACTTTCTTTTGAAATCCAATCAAAATCCAAATAATAATTATTTTCTGATTTGGATTTGGATTTTTGACAGCAAAAGACATGAAGAGATAGAATCTAACAAGAAATTTAAGCCACTGCACCACTGATCCCTGGAGAAATTTGTCTGGAAGGAGGAGACATGACCTCAAGAAAAGGGGAGTCTTGTTCTTAAACAATGTGGGGATATCTTTTGACTCAGGAGCTCTACTTTTGTCCCTTTGTCCCAGCCCGGCAAGCGCTGAAAATTATCAAATCGAACGTGCGAATGATGGGCTTATCTTGTAAGTTCTTCTGCGTGTTTCCTGCTGGTCAATGCACCTGGCAAGAGTGTTCCCTTTACCACCTGAGACGGTAGGACAGGGCGTAGGGAGCGGCTCAATTTTGGCAGATGTGGAATGACAGTAGGAACATGCACGCGGCGACAGTGCCTTTCTTACCATGTCTCAGCTTGCTCCTGTATGTCCGTGTCTAGAAGGCTGTGGACCCTGGTCAGCATTTGTGCAGAGCAGACCAGATCTTCAGATCAGCGGCACAGGGGTGGAATTGGACCATTTGTTATGTTTGCTAGGACAGGGAGCTGGCACGGAGTGGGTTCAAAGCCGTATTGTGTCAGTTTCATCTCAAAAACGTTAGCCACTGACCTAAAACATCCCCATGTGATGCTAACTGTCCTGTATGTTAACGGCACAGCTAATAGATTCGTGTGACATGATGAAGCGTGCAAACAGGCTTTGTTTTCCAAAAAAGGAAACCCATCTTCCATGTGCTATTTTTTTCCTCTATTGTTATTTGTCAGTAAAGCATTAAAGAAGGAATTTTCTGCGGCGCCTGGGTGGCTCAGTCGGTTAAGCGTTAGACTTCGGCTCAGGTCGTAGTCTCGCAGTTTGTGGGCTCGAGCCCCGCGTTGGGCTCTGTGCTGACAGCTAGCTCAGAGTCTGGAGCCTGTTTCAGATTCTGTGTCTCCCTCTCTCTCTGACCTTCCCCTGCTCATGCTGTCTCTCTCTCTCTCTTTCAGAAACAAATAAAAACATGAAAAATTTTTTTGAAAAAGGAATTTTCTCCCTCTTCTTTTTTAACATTTACCATTGAGAGAGAGAGAGACAGAGAGACAGAGACAGAGACAGAGCATGATCATTGAGGGGCAGAGAGAGATGGAGACACAGAATCTGAAGCAGGCTCTAGGCTATGAGCTGTCAGCACAGAGCCCGACCCAGGACTCGAACTCACGAACCATGAGATCATGACCTGAGCCGAAGTCGGACACTCAACTGACTTAGCCAGCCAGATGCTGTATCCCTCTTCTTTTTATCTTCCAAACTCACCTCTGCAAATGTTCCCCTCATAAACATGACTCAATGGGGTAAAGACATTATAAATCTTGTAAGGTCTTTATCAAAGGAATATTGATAATTATTTGCCAAAGACCAGAAAGTGAGGGATTTGAAATTTAGCTCCTCCTACTGAAGACATGCTAGAAGCCTCTGGTCTGGAATGAGGCATCTGCAGTGTCCAGTGTTGCTACATGTTCCTGAAGGAACCTGTGAGATCCTCTGTTCCTTTGGAATGTGGCCAGTTTCTTTGTCCTGTTTCCTAATGAACTGCCCTCAATGTGGCTTGAAGGAAGTGAGTCATACAGAGTAAGCCCCATGAAAATGGGAGAGGGGGCATCTGCAGGCCTGGGCCACTGAGCTGCCTCTTGGCAATTCTGGCTTCGGCAACAATTCATCCTCCGAGAGGACGCCCTCAGACTTCCTACGAATGCCTCTCGAGACTCCATTTCAGGCACGTCCAGGCTCCAGGTTACGACGGTCCTTGTCTGACTGTGGCTAACAGCATGGTGACGTATCGTCTGTCCCACAAGCTCAGGGAATAGTGGCTGAAGCCACATGACGATCTTGTCCACGTGACAGCTCATGAATTTCATATTCTCTGAGAGTAACACCTGGTAGAAATAAAAATGTGTTAAATTACAATTTGAAAAGGAGACCCTCACATACTCTCCTTTAAACAGGGGTTTTAGAACCAACTGTAGAAATCTCATGCTTCATGCATCACATTCCCTCATCATTTGATGGCACCTGATTATATCAGATGGTTCAGAAATTCAAATGTGAAAACACAGCACACATTGCATTTTAGAGCAGCAGTACAAAGACTTACCAGTGTCTTCTGGGAGCACCATATAAACCATCAATTAGAATATTTCGAATGAAGATGTTAAAAATTAGGGAAAGGAACAAAACATCAACTTCATGGCATATTTGCATATTCCTATGTTTCTAAGTTAATGTTATCTCTCTGTAGGAGCATCCCATTTATCTCTAGTTTGCCGGACACACAACTCTACTTAATCTAGATACTAGCCAAGGGGAAAAACAACTTAGAGAAGGAAACATCCATAGATGGGAAAAGCAGGCAGTTAGTAATCACGAAAAGTACCAGGCACCCACTACAAACTCATGAAAGGTACCAATCATCTTCTTGTTATTGATTGCTTACTGTTCTATTTCACAAGCATTAACTCATTTATTATTTACCCTAACCCAATGGAGTGAGTTTGGTCAGCGTACCCATTAAACAGTCAAAGCTGGGGCACAGAGTCATCCTGAAGCTGATTCCGACTCATGTAGCCGGTGCGCAATAGAGCTACGATCTGTCCATGGCAGATTCCAGAGACTATATTTTAGTAATTTTATATTATTGCCTCCTCAGGTACTCACGAATTATATGGATATATTATAGACTACTGTGGGCATAATTCTAGCTAATTTGGCTATCTGGCTTTTAGCAGAGAATAAGTAGGCTAGAAATGGGAGGTAAGACAGTCTTCCTTACTCTATCAAGAGATAATACTTAAAACCTGAGCAACTAATAACAAGTTTTATATGTATTACATAGAGGTAGCCACACAGTCATTGATTATTTGGAATGATAGCCTGGGATCATCCTGTGAACCCTGTCCTATGTTCAACAAATTATGCTTTAAATGATTTGGAAGAAGATAATCCATTCTAGAAATATTGATTCCCTAGTTAGCTTTGTTTTTATGGGGTGACAGATCCATGTGGTAATCAGAAGAAATAAACTTGAATCATCAGGACCATGTGCTTCTCCGTGGCACACCCCATCCCTAGTTGGGGCTAGATAATTGGGGCATCACTAGTAAAGACACAGTCATCCTTACCAGTGTGTTCCAGAATCCTGGCACTCGAGACTTACCTGCTCAGCCTGCTGCCCTAAAACTTATACTAATGGCTGAAGCATCTATTGCTTGCCAGCAAATTCTTGATCCATCCTGGCGCTAGATAACACATCCCATGTGCTCTGTCACCTAACAAAGAGCTTCTCTAAACAAATTGTCTAGCATATTCTCACCTGTTGCAATAAGAACAGACAGTGATAGAACCCCACTTGCCATATATAAACGTATTCTAGACAGACAGGATAAGGCCCGCCCCAATGACATTATCAGCCTGAGACCCGCAGCTGCACTAACTCTTATTTTTGTTCATTTTTTTCTTTTCACATCGTTGTTTTCCAATTAGCAAGGAACACTCTAGAAATTAACAATCACGCTTATGAAGCTATTTCAAATCTTGTATCTCACAAGAACCATCGATTTTAGCCTTTCCCCAGCTCCCTGCATAGGCCAGAATACAATTTAGAAATTTTAAAAAAAGAGTTAAGGCTGTGCAAACTGAGTAACTCAAGTTGCAGTCAGGGTCATCCTGTGGTCTGTGTGCTGCTTTGGTTCTGCAAATGGCAGCAAGAAGGGCCTGTGGGAATCGTGTTTTTGAAACAGTTATCAGTGTAGCAGTGGGTGTCTGGGCACCAGAATGTCAATGCATCTGCTCTTTAAAACACAAAACTCCACAGAGGGACCATCTACAACCTAGTCCTTATTATGTTTCTTAGGTGCTGTCTTTGTGCAAATAGGACCACAGTATAATTCCATTACTGTTGAAATATCCTTTGTGGGGGTGCTGGGGGGCTCCATCGGTTAAGGATCTGACTCTTGGTTTCAGCTCAGGTCATGATCTTACAGTTTGTGAGCTTGAGCCCGGTGTCGGGCTCTGTGCTGACAGTGTGAGGTCTGCTTGGGCTTCTCTCTACCCCTCCCCTGCTTGCTCTCTCCCCATCTCTCAAAAATAAATAAATAAATTTAAAAAAGAAATATCCTTTGTAGTTCAGTAAAAATAATCACTGTTAAAAATAATCTGATTTCTTCAACTTTGTTTACTTCATATTTTCTGCATATTTTTAATGTTTTTTTTTTTTTTGAGAGATGGGGGGAAAAAGAGTGGGAGAGAGTCAGAGAGAGAGAAGAAGACAGGATTGGAAACAGGCTCTGTGCTAACAGCAGAGAGACCAACGTGGGGCTCAAACTGAACTGCACCACCGAGGCCCCATATTTTATATATATGCAGTGAGGTCTTGTTCTATTTTCCCTATGCCTGGCCAATAGTGCAGAAGTGCTATAGACATGAATAAAGTACGTAACTCCTTCAGTTTCTCATCTGGAAAGAGAGTCCCCTCTTACAGCCCTGCCTCACTGGGTCCCCGACTGCCCTCCAGGTCACTTCAGTTGACACCTGCTCACAGGTGCCAAGACACAGGACAAGTTTCTGATGACCTCCTGTGCCTAGTTCGGCAATTTCCTCTTCTGAAGGGGCAGAAGAAAGGTTCTGTGCTCCCCTCCACCCCCCCGCAGTTACGTGATGTCTGCAAGCCAGACGAGCGTAAATCAGACTGAGAACCGAGTCAGGTACTGTGTGTTCTCTGCAAGCATCAGACGGACCCCAGCATCCACACTGCCTCCTGGCAAAGAACAGCAGCAAGTCAGGACGATGCCATCATCACAAACATGGTGTGTTCTAGCGCACAAGCTCTTGCAAATCTGGATTGATTAACCAAACCATGTAAATCTGGTAGTTATGGATCTGGTAGTAACTTGGATGAGGAAAAGAAGGTCACAAAAAGAGAATTGAGAAAAGGGTTGAGACAAATCGTCACTCTCCATGGAAAATCTATAAAGAAAAGAAGCCACACATCAGGAAAAAAAAATGTTCTCATACAAAGTATGGTATGAGATGTATGGTAATACAAAGAATAACCATAATAGGTCTGAAAACCCCTCCCAATTTGCTTCATTTTATTCCCTATTATTTACTAATCATTTAAAAAGGGAGAAAATGGGTTAGTGCTATTCAGTAGGCCTTACACACACATGGAGCCAGGAGATTTATGAAGTGGTAAGATAAATGCATCACTTTTATTATATGTACACAGAAAAAAGTACTCTTAACCTAATATTGGGAGAATTCAGTTAATACTCTAACAGAATCGCTCATCTCTGCAACCTTTTAGTGCCTATTGACAGAAAAATTACCGATATGGGCTAACCCAGAAGTGAAGGTCAGTTTGTGTCGTAACAGTATTTATTTAAATCAACAGTCCAACTGAAATGAAATGTGATTAGAAATAAGTTCAGAACGTCCACAACAAATGAGATGTGTACTCAGCGAAACAATTATGGTAATAATTTGGTATAGTTGTAGATAAGAAAAGAGGCAGGCAAATTTGAGGGTATTCAGTTCTTCCCTCATCGCCATTCTCTCTGCACTCCTATGATTTGTGTAAAAACGTGTGGGAGAGTACCAGTTTCTGACATTGTAGCTATAGGCGCAAATCCTAAGCAGTGTATTTTATCGTGACCCTTTTGCATTGTTGTGCAGAAAGCTCGGTAGTGTGGAAACGTGCGATGCCTTTATGAGCTTACCCGATCTTGAGGGGGACACATTTCTAAGGTAAAGATTAGGGAGCTCGTTAATACAGCTCATTTCGCATCTGTCAGCTGCTATATTGACGCACTGTGTTAAAACTACAGAATGACTATCTGAGCCAGATGATCAAGGTTTGCACCGTCTGTGATAAGTCCTATCAATAGTATGTATCCTTGCTATCATGTGAGGAAAATAGCACTTTACTTCCTCCAAAAAAACTCATAACCCCGGCAATGCCATAAGAAAATAACCGATAAACCCCAATTGAGAGACATTCCACAAAACACCTGACAGAGTGTGCCTCCATAGGGTCAGGGTCATCATCAATAAGGGAGGTCTGAGAAGCTGTGTCAGCCAAAGGGCCTCTGAAGAGATAGGGAACCTACATGTAATACAGCAGCCGGGAATGAATGCTAGAACAGATGAGGGACATTAGGTAAAAACTGAGGAAATTTTAATAAAATATGGATATCAGTTTTAAAAAAACATTGTAAAGCCCCAAGCACTGCTTTTAGTATTCAGCTGTATTGGCTGCAGCAGAGAACGATGCCCAGTTTGGCATCCAGACACCAGTGATTTGATACCAAACATGTGGCTTTTTCTGAGACTGAGGTCATTCAAAAATGCACCGTTACTATTACTAAGCAACTTCATATGGCACAATTTTTGCTTCATTTATGTATTTTTGACTTAATACTTTCTCTACTGAGAAAAAGATTTACAGGCTTTCCCGTATTCTCAAAGAATAACTATTTAGACCTTGGGACACATCCACGTGATACCTATCTGTAGACTGTGTGACTGGTGTCTGCCACATACACATAACATGAACACAAGTCGTTCCTGAAAACGTACATGTTGTTACCAGAGTCGGGTTCCTAGGCCACACAACAGAGAAATCAGGCAGGACTAAATCCCAAAGTCACAGGCAAGGTTTTACTGGGGTTCCAGCTCAAGTGGAAGGGAGGTACGCCCCAACCAAGAGTGACGACGCCCCGCTTACAGAGAGGAAGTTGGCTCTCAGGTGCCCACTCAGGTCCAGTATGCTAATGAGGGGAAGGAAAAAAAATGCCTCATCCTGATTGGTTGGAAGGGCCTTACTCTGATTGGCTGACACCGGCAGACAATTCCAGCAGTCCATTGGTGCTTTTTGGAGCCAGGTCCTCCGTTTTAAGTCTCTCTGCGCTCACATTTGGGGCTGAACGCTGCCGCATCCCAGGTCTGCTGGGCGAGAGAAGGGCCTTAACAATAACGGCCCAGGGAATGTGCCCCAGGTACGTAGTGCTTTCCACTGGGGGCTTGCTGCTCTCTCAATATGATCATTACCTTGGTAATTGACATCTGTATAGACTTACCTATTCATTTTTTAAGTGTTTATTTTTGAGACAGAGTGTGAGTGGGGGAGGGGCAGAGAGCGAGGGAGACAAGGAATCGAAAGCAGGCTCCAGGCTCTGAGCTCGAACGCACGAACCATGAGACCATGACCTGCGCCGAAATCGGCCGCTTAACCAACTGAGCCACCAGGTACCCTTGTATAGACTTACCTATAAAACTGATTTTAAAATATTGTAGCCTGGCCCCATATCCCAAGATTTTATCAACTCTGTTTTTAACTCAGCCGTAATTCTGATATGAATCCTGGGTGGGAGGGAGCCTCAGGTGTATTACAGTCTGTGCTGCAATGCATTTATAGTTTTATTTCGGACATCAAAACATACCTTTCCTACTGCTGCCTTGGCGGCACATTGTTGGGGGGGAGGTGGTCTCCTGTTTGTCTCATTTGCATAATGAGAAGCTGAAAGCAAGACTCCCTTAAATGAAGGGCTCTGGTAGTATTTTCTGATATAGTAGCTTCAGGAGACACAGATTGGAGGACGGTTGGGGAAGAGGGCCCCAAAGGAGGTAAAGGGAAACTGTGGTTATCCGGACTTCCTGCAAAGTGTCTGTCTCAGGCATTTGGGATTCCAGAACCATCAAGCTGCAAGTGAGCCTCATTGACCTGTCTAGTGCAAACCCTTCATTTTACAGAAAAGAAGAACTCTTGTTTAGGTTAGTGCTAGGCCGATCCCAGGCCACTTCCTTTATTGTATCCCTAGAACCCTGAGCTGCGGCAGGAGGGTGGGGGGCATTGGCCGCAGCCTTCTTGCCGCACACTGCATTTTACTGTCTTTACAGTCTTTGGCCCACTATGATCATGACCACATGTCCCTTGTCCCTAAGTTCACACAGAGTCCTTCAGGGACAAAGGGGAAACATATGAATGAGACTACACAGCAAAAGCTTTGAGTCCAGAAATGAAAGCTGTACCCTAGTGTTTATTTGAGCCCTAATCCTTCGGTGCCCCACACAGTCCTCTCAAACTCATTCCCTTAAGATTATGATTGAGACTAATTTTAAGATTAAGATGAAACTTTCCCTTATTTCTTTCAATATTTTCACCCATATATTGAACATGATCAATAGGAAAAGTCTTGGGGTAGGAAAGAGATTTATCTATTTCAGGAGGAAACTCAGGCTGTCCTTACCCATCTTTTCTTTAGAAATGTAGGTCATGGCCAAGAGTCCCCAGGGAAATGGAATGAGTTTTGCCATATTTTAATATTTGGGTATTTTCTTGGGGGGGGGGAGCAACAAGATGAGAATGAGGGGTACTTCCCAGACGCTTGAGTTATTGGAAAATGGAGGTAGAAGGGTGCACCTCACCTCCCCACCTTGGGAAGCATGTCGTGCCATTCTGGACCACCCTGGTCTACAGTCATAAAGACTCTGGTTGAGATTCTAAGATGTAGTTGTAGGTGAAAGAAATCACTCTGCCCTCCAACAATGAGAGAGAACTTCCTGAAACAACTAGCCCCTGATGGCCGTCCATTTACATGAAGGAAATATCTACTCTGGCACTAATAAAGTTGAGATTGCATGCCTGCCTTTGTTTGCAATCATCTGTATTTTCTAGAGCAAAATAATAATCGTGGATATGTTTATTAACTTTCTGTTGTAGAGAAATGAACAGCACTAGTGGAAAAATCAATTCCTTTCTTCTCACTTTTTTTGACGGCAATATATATTTATTTAGGTCTTTATTTTAGAAAAAGTAAATTCATTTCAGACTATGGGAAAAGAATTTCGAAACTGAATCTAAAAGTCCATATTGGCTAACACATTTTGAGCTAACAGTGGGTAGCATATCCTCATTCATCCTTGGCAAATGCTGCTCCGATGTTTTAATGTTTAAAAAATCTTGTAGGCTTTAACGTGCACTCATTCTGGATCCTTTTATCTGACTGGAGCTCCTCCGTGCATTGCCACGTCGTAGGCAATAAGGCGTAGGAGCTTAGCCATAGGAGTCACACTCTGCATGCAAATATGTAATAAAATACCGTATTACTTAAATATACTTCAAGTTTTATGCTTGTCTTTGTTTTTCCAGTATCAGAATATTAGAAAAGGTGCAAACGTAGCATCAGATTGTAAAACGACCACAAGTCCAAATGCCTGGCCCATATGCCTGAGTCTTTGTGACCTTGGCTTAGTCACTTACCATCTCTGGGCTTAGTTTTTTATTTTTTAAAAATGCAGAGGTTGGGTTAGGTGGGCTCCCTAGTGTTGGTCAGGATTTTGAACCACGTTAGTATCTTCAAACTCTGAGATGAAAGGACCTCTGATGCTGATTCTCTACTATCTTGTTTAAAAGGAAATTAAGCTTTTTGGAGCAGGTGTAAATATGCCATGATGTGACACTCACACATGGGGTCTAGCTCTACTTCTGCTGTTTATTACTGAAACCAACCACTTATCAACCGCTGGTCCACCCCATGGCAAAATAGAAGTAAAACTATTTGTTATCCCATCCTCACCGAGAATCAAGGAGAATAAATTAAATGAGAGAACTTTAGAGTTCTTGGAAGAAAGCGCTTTCTAAATAGAGAATATTTGCATTACTATCATTCTTATTATGCAGCAGATATGAGAAATGCAATCTTCCTGTGTATTCCTGTTGGCCGTATCTCCTCAAGGGAATGTGTGTGAAAAATAAGTGGAACTCTTCCAGGACTCGAAAAAGGGGGGGAAAAAAAGCCTGTGTTCCTGAAAACCACCATTTCTGAAATGTAGAGAGCAAACTAATGTTATCTCAGATTCCCTGAAGACGAGATTACACTTTCTGGAGAAAATTGACATAATGAAATACTTGATATTCATTAAGTTACTGTTAAACTTTTTCCTTCTTTAAGTTTTTGCCT